CACTTTGTACCCAAAAGAAAATGACCCAAAACCTGTAATTGCTTAGGTAGCACATCCTAGTGACTGTCTAAGCCCCCCCCCCGTCTGCCTTCATTTCATCTTCGAACCTTCAATGCAAATTCATTAAATATTATCTTCGACCTTTATCGTAACCTTGGTTTACAAAGCGATCGAAGAACGAAATGCTCACATCGAGTAACCTATGTTCCCTTTCCATTCTGTGACTGTTGTCAACAAGTCCCATGTGCTGAATGCACTGTTTAGTTCTATCTCGGAATTCCGCCACAATCTCGTTCCATCGAAGCCACCACCGGTTCACGCACTGTCCATGCTCCACTTCTGTCCAGTACCGAGTATGCTAAACACAAAGTAAGCCTCTGACGACGATGGCATCCCATGGATTGTCTTAAATGACGTGCAACACTGAAAAGGAATTTGAATTTCACAGCTAGGGCGAGAAAATGCAATTGTTGTGTTGGTCACATTGAGATAATTCCAAAATTGTCATTACCATTTGAATATGGCAGACCGAGTTCTGACGAGAGCTACATCATGGGTGACAGATGACGCGAAGGAAACACGGCGAGAACAGACGTACAGAACGAATCACCGCGGGAAGTTTGATTTTTTGATAATATGAGGACCCAGTATGATAGAAGAGGAAAAATACAAGCCCGTGACACCAAATGCTTCGTACCCAGCATTGAGTATTCTATTTTGACAAGATTTCACATGCAGATTTTGTACAAACAATAGGAAGCAGAAAGACAACATAACCTCTTCCAGTTTGAACAGAACGACGCAAGGCTATATATGTCAAAAAGACTGAGAATGTTGCAGTAACAGTCACTGAACGATGGATGAGCGCGACAGGAAGGGCTGAAATAAGGATACTGACAGAGAACAGTTGTCCGTATAAAAAATTGATGTTGTGCAACTGGCGGCTGCAGCAACGAGGATAAGGGCGAAAGACGACTGCAACAGTAGTGATATTCGAGTCATAGTAGGCAGCAACGGATATAAGACCAATCTTACTACGCGCCTCTCCGGACACCGCGGGCCATTACCGGAGCCACATGAGGTAAAGGTGGCTGCAGCCCAGCCACAGGTGTATGTGGGGCAGCATGCGTTGGAACCGGATACACATGGGCATTATCGTGAGTCGACCCAACGCGAGATCGTCTCGATAAGGATTCGTTGCCCACAGTATTTGCGGCGGACGCAGCTATGTGAAATGACGGATGGTTCCGAAGGGAGGTGCTTGAATTCGATGGCGTCATAGGATTCATGTGTCTTGGAGCTGGAGTTGTACTGGGACCGGTAGTCTCGACAGGAGTACCAGCTGGATACAGGTCGAGGATTTTATGGCAAATGTCCTCCATAACCTAAGTGAACGAAAGACGAAACGATTAGAAAATGGTGGAGAATTTCCAAAAAATCCAATGCTTAGTGGACTGATTTATTTATCATAATAGTCAGTTATTTTAAAGGTCGTAAGGTCACCGATGCACCGACTAACAGAAAAACATTAAGAGCATCTATACATCTGAGGAAGTATCTACCGGGGAGGAACAACACTTTTTTCCCGTGGCGAGGATAAAACCCAATTTCCAAAGCGGTAAGCCGGGGCAGCTAGAGAACGTAGAACACAAGGAAAATTAAGATTGCATATAAATCAGACAGATCATCACTGGATGCAGTATCCACTCTGACCCGAGTTGTTGGAAAATTCAGAGAAGTCTGTCTCTTGCGCTTTTCTGACTTTTCGTCTGCATTTGATTCTGTTTCTCGATCACCATGAAGTTCTGCCCCTCGTAGAGTGTATGAGGCTAAAGGTGAAGCCCAAACAGGGAACAAACAAAACGAGCCACAGGAAAAGGAAACGAAACTCCGAGGAGACATGATGTGAAAAGTCGGTACTAGACCTCAAACTAAGTTTGCGGTCGCGTCGCCGAGTTAGATTTACGCAACTCCGTTTTATGGATCCGAATTTTGAACCGAAAACTTTGAATCCTCAAAAGAAACCCCGGATAATTATGGAGACCCTATTTCGCATGATAATCCTGTCATTCTTTCGGAGGATATCCGGATGCACGCTGAAATATGGGCCATGATGATGAATTTACATTACCAACGGACGCTTATAGAAAT